CCCCCCACTCCGGGGTCAGAGGAACCGCAAGAACTACCTTCCGCCGGCGTCTCGGGTCGTCTCGGGCTCTTCCGGCGCTCGACCCAGAACAAGGGCTCATACGAGGTCAAGACCAAACCATCACAACAGACATCGTCAGCGCTGCCGTCGCCCGACGAATCGTCAACGAATTTGAGACGGGATTCACCGTCGTCCTCCGACTCGGGCATTGCATCAATGGCGTCATCGGGCGATAGCGGTTCAACGCGAAGCATTCCGTATGTGACAGTGGACGGCAACGATTCATCGAAGACTGGAGGGGTCGTCATGACTGCCAATGGACATGAACATAATAAAACGCAGACGACCGGTGCGGAAGGCGGAGACAATGCCGGTGACGGGAATTCGAATTTCTGGGGATTATTCAGCGGACTGAAGTAAATGACTACAGTAAAAGCTAGAACCCATTCTTGTGCTAGAGCGTTATCTTACGAAGATGTCAACATAACCGACTCTTTGTCTCCAGATAACACTATTCTGCACTCATTCGGCAGGAAAGAGCCAATGTTCATTTCTCCTTCTTTCCACAACACCACTGTGACGTCTCACTTGTATTCTTTGCTCAAAATGAAGGACAAAGGCAATAACCATGAAAAGGTTCATTGTGAAATCGAAAAAGAATTATTCCATGTAATGATGGTCCTGCTTCAATTTTGGACTTGATCGTTCCTGGCACTACGAAGACTTTACAGTCAAGTTATATGATTAAAGACTTTAAAGATACAACTTTGTATGAACGTAGAATATATAAAGTATTTAAAAAGTAAAGTATTTAGGTCGATAACTTCCGATTTTCAAAGCTTTATTTTTCTAGTTGTCAGAGAGCTGTTATATACTCCTCTGACGGAAATTTAAGTAGCATATACTTGAAATTATTGTAATCTATGGCTAATAAGCCTCCTTTGATGTATATTTCATCTATTCCATTTTTCACTTCCGACAGGGTCTTTAAAAGATATAAAAGATTACTATGTTAGTGAGTGTGAGAGAATGAGAGAGAGAGAGAGAGAGGGGTGAGAAAGAGTGAGAGAGAGAAAGGGATAGAGAAATAATTGAGAGAAATCAATTTTGGATGAAAACACGATCCCAGATAATGATGTATTCAGATTAGTTTTGATATGATCAGCATAATTCTTAAAAAGAATATTAGGGATGAAAGGTTTGGTTCATTTAAAGACATAATCTCTTCCAGAAAAGTAATAATGGTAGGTGTGATCAATCTTGTATCTTTTCTCTTTTTTAAATATATATTGACCAGCTATGAGTCGAGTTGGAGAGGGGAAAAGGCGAGAGATGGGAGGGGACCAACAACACGACCCCCACCAAAGACTCTATCCCTAAGCCTTCCCCTCCTACGATTGCCTTATTATATCGCATTTCACCTATATACTTAGTAAGACGTTTACCCCAAATCGGCTCGCCTATATAGCTGAGACGTTGAGCCGTTCTTAATTATTTCAAAGTCATTTTGAATATGCGTATTCCACAATCATAAGATGATGTCACCTAGTCGATTGCTAGTTTTGATTTTCAAGGTTTTAGATTTCGAGTTTTTCACTCCTTAGACAGACACTAACAATGGCATTTAATCTATATTTTTGTAACCTATGGCTTGTAATATTTCCTTTAATATATAATATATAGGCCCCATGGAAGACCACTACTTATTGGTGAATGGGCTACACTGACAAAAGATTAGAAATACATTTTAAAAAAATCAAAAACAAAAATCATCTAATCCATTTTTCACTTCTGACAGGGTCTATAATGACAGGACCCAATCTTGTCACTGATTTAAGCTAATCCCTAGAAGCAATTTACGTCATACCCTGTGAGAAAGCAATTGAAAACATAGGTAATTTACAAAATGGCCCCAGGATCTAAATCATTTTTTCATGAACCGTTTCTATATCTTTATCCATTTAAGGGGGGCCCCGAATTTTCATCATGGAATTTACTTTAATAAAGAAGCCACTTAGAATTATAGATATTTCGCTGTATTGGTAAATTAAAATCTAGATAGTATGATTTTGGGTCATAAAAAAACGTGTAAATGAATCATTACATTATATCATATGTAGAAAATGAATATTATGATAACGGTACGAAGTTTACACGTAGGTATTGGTTTTGAATAAATTATGTTCTAATCATTAATGTTGTGCTTCGTTTAAAATAGATTGTAATAATTGGTATGTCTTCCTTTCATTCAAAACAGTAATAGAAAATATCTTATTATGTATATTTACAAATGCAGTCATTCTATTTTGTTTAATTATTTCTGCAATGTACATCGCCATTTACAGATAGATATGAGGGAAATAGATACAGTATATTTCAAACTTAATCTTCTTATGCTGGGCAGTATTTTTGAGATATTGTAAATATTGCTATAAATAATGTTATACAAAGAGTATAAAGAGAATTGTATAAACCTAATATCACTACTTTATATTTATAAGTACACGTGATGGTATATTCTGAACATTTCCTATTGGAAAGGGGGCATTGTATTCACATAAATTCAATTTGCGTTCCTTTTTGCAATTTTCTTTGAAAAAAACGTCTAGCGATTTGATTTCTAAAATATAGTCATGTTTTCTCAGCAGATATATCGGTCTGAGAATTTTGCCACTAAACACATACAAATAGGAGGCAATATCAGTGTATGCATAATTATATCAACACCCCATGCTATAAAATATTTTCTCAGTGATTTAATGTTTAATTCACCGAGGTTTCATTCTTTTAAGTCAAACGAAAACCACTCCTTTTGTTATTGACGTTATCACCATGATTTATTACTATTATTTTTTGGGAGATATATCCTGATACAATCATTATGCTTAAAAGAATTGTAATGTTGATTTAAAAACAAACAGAATAGTTTATACAAATGGCATCGTATTAATAAATAATAATAATAATAATAATCACCATACAGAGATTCCGCAAATACAATCTCTGCATTACTTTTATAATGCATTCCGTCTATGATGTATCAAAAATATATCTTGATTGTCAGAAGTCGAAGATCATTATTATTCAGATATGCAATTTTGATCTTTTTTGTAGCAATCGAGTCGGTATGCCATCTGCCAATAAACACCACTGACAGTTTGATAACAGGTGTATTTAAATGGCATTTTTTTTTAAACTTCAGCAAGTGTATTCTACATGTAATTGATGTACTTGTACATTCCCTTTCATCATGAGTGTTTCAAATCTTTTGATTGTTTATAAGCTCGTTTCTATGACAACATAGAAATGTATTCTAATTCGAGTCTATGAGTCAGATTTATTATCGAATACATGTAGGGGCCAATATTTACTATTGGTAACGACTGGTTTATTATCAACGCAAAACTAATTTGAGCAAAGATAATAAAGTAAGGCTATAACATATAAAAATTCTTTAAAGAGTATATAATTCGAATATGATGCCATGCCAAAATAAACGGTAATATGAAAACTGAAAACTAGAACGCAGTTCTGTGTAAGAGGGACGGGGAAAGAGAGAGAGGGGTGAAAGGGGAGGGGAGAGATATGAGAGAGAGATAGAGAGAGAGAGAGAGAGAGAAAGGGTGGAGGGAGGGAGAGAGGGAGATGTGTGCGAGAGGGGAAGATGTGTGAGGGGAAAGTGAAGTAAGCGAGGAAGATAAATTGAATATATGAACTGCTTGAACAATGATTCTCTTGACAATTCAAAAAATTTACCACATGCTCGACTGACATAGCAACAACGAGACAGCGAGAGAGAGAGAGAGAGAGAGAGAGAGAGAGAGAGGGATGGGAGAGGAAATTGGAGAGAGCATGTAAGCAAGAGAAAAGGACAGTTTACGACAAATCTGATGCTATATAGGCCTATATCTTGAACAGTAGTTCTCTTGACAACTCGATAGCTTACTATATGCTTGCCTTGCATAACAACATCTAAGGCTTGCTATATATGTAAATTCAATCCATAGAGAATGCTGTTTTCATGTCTCGTAATTTTTTTCTTTCGCTCTCCCTCTCTCTTTTTCTCAATCACTGCCATGATTATTTAAGTTGCTTTCTAGATATTTTGCATATGCACTCTTTCTGGGTATCGGCATGATATACATCTAGCTTTAATGGCATGAGGATGATATCTGTAAAATACATTTATACCCAATATACTAAAAATAGGCCTACAAAATTACTTTGTTCACTTTCTTGCTTATATATATATATATATATATATATACTGCAAATGAGTTCTTGTCAAATTATTTTTATGTATAAGCAATTAATATTGAAAACGTTTATTTATTATATTCAATTGTATGTTCTTGACAAGGAATAAAACAAAATTACTATAACAAAAAAAAGTGTGTGTGTGTGTGTGTGTGTGTGTGAGAGAGAGATAGAGAGGGAGAGAGACAGAGAGAGCGAGAGAGAGACAGAGAGAGAGACAGAGAGAGAAAGAAAGATTAAAAACTTATATCCGACAGATTCGTTATTTCATGGACCTACGTTCTAGGTTCCATGCAAGAGAGGAAGTGGTGAAATATTTGTTCATGCAAATTATACATTGTAAGGAAGGTTGTAGCCTCGTACTCGTAGCAATCTCTACGCAAGAATTTGAATTATTGACTGAGAAAGATATTTAGAAAAAGAGAAGTGGAAGGGAAATAAATGAAGAATAGTGGAGAAAGACGGGGTAAAATATAAATGTAGTCCTGATCCTTTACCCTTCCAAAACATAATAATGAAGAAAAAAATGCTCTATTGTCCCGGATTCTACTAGAGGGGATCTCTAACATAATATTAAATCCACCACTGAAAGCCTAAATGAGTCGCCCTCTATAGAAAAAAAATAATGATGAATACCGCCATGAAGTTCAAAGGTGCTTATACGCCGCGCGTGATCTCTGTGGGAAAACCCACTTCTATTTATATGCACAAACTGCATTGTATTCACAGGATATCTCCTCAAGTGTGATTTTACTATTATAACCATACTTGTATTCAGGTAGACATTGTGAATAGATAATTGATAATAGTACTTTTGATCAAAGTTAGGCTCACCACTTTCGACACATATTTTAAAGTAACGTGAGAACTTGGTAGGACGCACCTGTTGCGAAAACTTCGGATATTGGTAAAATCTACTACGTCAAAGCATAGAGTTTGTGCTTACATGAACTGATTTTGGCTTCTAGTACAAGTTAGCTGATCACACTTTTAAGTTGTATTGGTTATTGGATATATGCGTAGATTGAGCTCGTGTTTGTAATAAGTCAGAAAGCCGATATTTGTACCATGGCTGAGAAGACTGAGGAAGAGAAAGCTCCAAGCTCTTCACACAACCTGACGTGTCCACTATGTCTTGATATCTTTGACGAAGCAACCATCCTGACTTCATGCGGACACACCTTCTGTCGGAAATGTCTCAAGAACTATGACCTGTCCCACCAGGATCTCGATCACATGCTCTGTCCTCTTTGCAGGAAGATCACCAAGTTGTCTGCGAAGCGTGTCGATGATTTCCTCACCAACGTGACGGTCAACGGACTTGTAGACGATTACCACGCCAAGTGTGGAGGAATGAACGCTGTCCTTGAGATGCGTCCAAAATGCACTGCTTGCAAGTTTCAGCAAGATGCCGTCTCATTCTGCTGTACATGTAATAACTACATTTGTAATAAGTGTCTGGATTGTCATCAACATCTTACAGTCTTTGAAGATCACGAGATTGTATCCACACAGGATATCATCAACGGGAAGGCCAGTATTGGTCATCTACCCGAGAAGTGCTGCATCCACAAACAAGAGAACAAAGATATGTTTTGTGAGGATTGTAAGGTCCATGTTTGTCACAAGTGCGTGATCGTCGGTCATCAATATCACAGCATCAAGAATCAGGCTGACTTCGAGCAGCAGTTACGTCTTAAGGTAAGTGGGTTCATTTAACAAAAGATAATTGCGTTTGGTTAAGGCCTGACAAGGCAATAGTGGTACTCATATAATTCGGATAGGGGAAGGTATCATAGGCACCGGAGGAGGGGGGAGGCAGAGTGGTTTGATGTCCCCGCATTATTAAAGTGGGGGACAAAATTGATTTCAGCCCTCTGGGGCCCCCTCGCATCAAAAGCGTTCAAGTGCTCTGAAAAGTAACTTTTCACCATCCTAAAATCAAAATTTCCCCCACTCGGTCCTTACGCTCCCTCGAATATTTATAGTCCCGGTGTTTGTTATGTTTGTAAACCCTGTCTTCAATATAAACACCGCTAGCATGGGAGAATATATTCCTATCTATCAGAGTGCTGGGGTAACCCCCTGCCCCTTGACAATAAAAATAAATTGCAGTTAAGCTTAATCAGTCGAAAATCCTCAAAAAATGTAAAGTTTAACCATTCCAAAATCTAAATTTTGTCAGATATTGGTCGCTACCCTCACTTACACATTAATAAAATTAAGTGTAAGCCTATGGTTAAACTTTAGACAAAAAAAAAACAAGACAAATTGGCAACTCACTCATGAGTCTGTGACGTCATTGCATCACTATCCACTATTTTGTTCCCGGTTTAATCATGAAAAATGTGAATTTTGATAAACTATTTATATAAAAATCAATAATCATGAATATACAATATCCAGAAAAAAGTATCAATTCTTCAAAGTTCATGAAATATTTTGTGAAATTTCATGCACACAAATCACTTAATCTGGACGAAGGCCTGGGGAAATCAAATTATGGGGGATAAAAAGGGAAATTAATGGGATTAAAATAAATAAAGCAATTGTTAAATAGTGAGGACATGACGTCTGAGACTCATAACCAAATTGGCAATTTGTGTAGTGATTTCCATTGTTCCATAGTTTGTCATACTTTTTCAAAAATTCATAACTTGAATATGAGTTATCCGATTTTACTCAAATTTGTTTTGCTCTATTTCTCTTGTTTTTTCTGCATCTATTAAATACAAATTATTTTTAGAGTGGACTTAGTCTTTAAAGGTATGTGCATACATTACGAAACTGGCTGAGGCATAGACTACATCTCATTCTAAAATGTGTTTTTTCCACTTCTCTATTATTTGTTTTGTTTAGGTGAACGACCTTGTCCAGCGTTGTGCCGCTAAGAAATCAGAACTGGAAAAAAACATTCAGAATGTGGAAGTACAACGCCACGAAGTATACAGTGCCGTGCAGAAACTACTGGACGATGTCAGTCAAGCTTACAGCATCAAGGCAAAAGTGCTTGAGGATAATCATCGAAATCTCATCGAGCAAATCAATGTAGTAAAGCGGAGTTTCGATGACGACCTCAACGTCTTGAAAACCAATGATCGACAGAGAATCAAGAGTATTTGTAGTTCAAGAACACTGGTGGCCAATGACAGACTGGGTCATCTTGAGACAGACAGTCTGTCTGCTCATGCTTTGCTCTGTGAGGAGCTTGATGCCATGCTGAAGGAGGCTACTGATCACAATTCTGCGGCAGCCATTACGAAGAAAGCACAGGAGAAGAGGTTCAAGCCTGCAGATGATACTCGTCTTAATCTCGGGAGCATCTCAGGATCAGCTCCCAAGTTGCAAGTCATTCAGTGTGTAGATCTTCGGGGACACATGTGGGGAATGACCCCATACTCTGATGACAGTGTGGCTATCGGATATAATGGTGCACATGGTATAGATATCATTGATTCAGCTGGTAAAACGCAGCAGTATGCAAACATACCAAGTAACATGATGTGTTATAATCTTGTTTTTCAACAAGACAGGTCTGTATGCATATCGACGGTTGGCAAAGAAGTATACACATATTCTCCCAATGGATCAAGGAAATCAACCATCCCCTGTCCAAACAGCACAGGCCTACACATACTAAACAGAAGTCCATCAGATGAAATCCTCATCGCCAGCGATCAAAAGCAAGTCCATATCTATGACCCGACTGGATCCACTCTCAAGCACACTGTTCCAACAAAACACAACATTACGGGCCAGGTATCTGCTACCAGGTCGGGTTTGATCGTCACGAGTTCATGTCATCACTCCCGTCCAAGCGTGGTGACGGTCTATGACAGGGATGGGAATGCTGGTAAGTCTCTACAAGCTCCAAACGGTGTCCATCTGTTTGCTGCCCTGGATGAGCAGGACAGGGTGTATGTAGCGAGTGTTAGACCTACAAATGATCAAGTGGTGATCAGGCTCTATGACCTTGATGGTCTGAACCTGAAGGAAAGAGTTGAGTTCAATTTACTCAATATTGAACTTGTTTCTAGTCGGGGTTACTTGGTTTTACTCTCACCAGACATGCTCGCGTTGGCTTCTCACAAGAAGTTGTATTTTGTCAAAGTATCGCTATAATCCATCTCACACTCTATATTACCTTTATTGGAGGGTGGTGTATACATGAATCTCTCTTGGTTTGGTTTGGTTTTATTTTCCGTATACAAATTCAAATACATACGATAATACAATTTACAAATATAATACAAATCAAGAATTGAAAAACGGCTGGAATGCTCTTTTCAGAGCCATTATTAAAATGACTCCTTTCTTCCTAGAGGTCCAGAAATAGATGATTACACATAGAAATAAATCACAAAATATTACGAAAATATTACATACGCACTATCCAAAAGCCCCTTCCAAACCCTTTCTGCTCCAGCCCTTTTCTAATACGAGCCAATGTTTCATATTCTATCGTTTATTATGTGATAACTAAATGATTGAAATGATGCTTATTCTATCGATAAATTTTAATTGTCTGTTAGCAGTTGACATTATCCAGAATAATGATAAACTTCCTCTCTCGGAATATTACGTAAATACATCAAAATAAATATACAATTATACTTCTTGCATTGTGTCATCATTTCTTTTAGAAATTTACTGAAAGCCAATAAGAGGATATCATAACGTATACCTTGAAAATTGATAAGCATATTGATTAACTTCTTATTAGTATTATTTTCCTTATGTTGTTATCATCAAAGTATTTAAAAGATACTTTTTTGGAGCTGACATTTTAAAAAAATTATTTTGTTATCATTTTGTATCTTTAAATGAAGAAACAATTAATAATGACTTTGTAAATGGGCCCCCATAATTAGCGTTTTAGCTTTTACGGGTCACCCTGTTAAATTATTGGTAGTATTATTTTGTTTTCGTTTTATAACATTATTTTACTCTTCATATGGATGGTACATTGAATTTGCCTAATACATCAATTCAATTTTTGTATAGCCTTGGAGGACAGTGGAGAGACATTCGTATTAACCTTGCTCCCTGTCTGAAAAGCCATTAAATTGCAAGCTCTGGGATTCAATAGAATCTATACAGACTTGTTATGTGGAATTTGAAAAATCTTCATTTGAATTTTATGACGTTAGAAAGAGATGGGGTAAGATAGGATATTATGTTTATCACATGGTAAATTGTAGAAATGATGAGGATATTAAACACCTAACTCTGGTCATGCTAATATACATGCAGGCAAACCCAGTGATGAAAATGGAGAAAACATCATTCTAATGTTTCCCCATCGTATGAGAGTTTGTTCCAATGACCTTTCATCTGCCCATGCGCATGCAGATAGTATCTCCGAAGTGCAGGCCCGTAGCCAGACTTTGATGTAGGGGGGGGGGGGGCACATACATGTAATTGATCGACGTCCTGGGGAGGGGTCTAACAAATTTCAACCGATCTTGGAAATTTTGGGGGGAACGTGTCCCCTCGTGCCCCCCCCCCCCCCCCCCCCCCCCCGTGGCTACGTACCTGCCGAAGTGGCTTTTTATTGACCCGCTTTAATTCAGGGGTATGCTACTTTCAGACGTCCCCCTTTTCTGGGGTCTCTGACAAAATCACTACCCATTCCTGATCGAAAATTGTTTTAGCTTTTCGTCTTTTGAAAAGGTTTAGTCATATGGTTTTCTTTTAACTAGGCTGTTACATTTGGTAAATGGTTTGCTATATTTTATGGGGGGGGGGAGGGAAGGGGACGAGTCTGAAAACCAAAACGACTATTTCGGGCAAGACTACAGGCCTATTTTGTTTTGTACAACGTATTTTTAAATACCTTTCAAGGGATCGAAATCCAATCTTGATATCAAACAACTCGAGAGGAAAGGAGAAAATCAGAGAAGTAGACTGGTGAAGGTTTGAATGAAGTTGTAATGAACAAAATGAACAAGTTGTGAATTTTTTAAAGTTATAATCACTATACCGGTAGATATGGGCTCTTCAAATTGGCTTGATCGGTAATGTTGTTGTGTTTTGGTTTATTGGCGATTAGTCAGTAATTTGACTATTGTCACCAAAATACTTTACGGCAAGTGTTATATCTTTTATTTTTGTATTTTTGAAAAATATATTTATTTCGTTTTATATTTATCTATCTTTTAAGATAGTATCGAAAAATAATATCGTAAGCAAAACATTCATGGGCTTTGTTAGTGTTTCTTAACAGTACGTGCAGATTATTTGTTATATCACATACACACCATACATAAATATGTATATAAGATATTACCTACATAAGCCTCTATATTAAATAATCTTATCATACCATTTATCATTGTTGTTACTTTTTCTTATTTTATTTTCTTATTACATTATGTTATTATATTTTTAATGTACTGAGTGTAATTTAGCATATTTATAATATTGTTTTACTGTTCTTATTTTATTTCCTTATTACATTGTGTTATTATATTTTTAATGTACTGAGTGTAATTCAACATATTATAATATTGTATGTTTTACTGTTCTTATTTTATTTTCTTATTACATTATGTTATTATATTTTTAATGTACTAGTGTAATTTAGCATATTTATAGTATTGTATTATGTTTTACTATTCATCAAGGGAGGTATTACTTCCTGATAGGGAACCGTTTCGTTCTGTGAACGAACCGTACTACAGCTTTTTGTATACTGGACTCACTCTTTTTTAAGTATTCCATAATGTCTCTGTGATGTCATGTCTCTGTGATGGTATCGGGCAACTTTCCCATTTGTTCCAACACAAAATGACTATTACAACAAATGCCAACAATTATGACACAGGATGGTCTATTACCTTAAGAGGACCTATACACAATATGGTATCCATAATATATTTTGAATAGTGCCCCAAGGGAGAAGGCGCTTAGGCGAAAAAACAGGAATATAATGATATTTTTGTACACGACAAACGGGAGAGTTAACAGTCACTATACGTACGTCACAATCCACTGACCAATCTGCCAATTGAGATACGCTTTCATACAAATAAACTTATTGCAAGGCCGGTTGGATAACCCTTTAACATAATTATCGAATTTCTTTTCTTGTTGGTATTTTCCTCGGTTGTTCTCTTTTTTTTTCTTAACTTAGAAAATAGTTGTAGAAATTATGTACAGTGTCTTTGCTTAATGTAGCATTAACTTGTTTTTTTTTATATTTTTTTAATTTATACAGTATTATTGACATATATACCGGATATATTTGTGGAAGATCTAGATTATTCTTGTCTCATGTGATATTGACATCCGTAAAATAAGTAATATTTTGTTATTACTGTAAGCCTGTCACAAGAATAACACAATTTCTGCATATAAAAAGTACTGATTTTATTTGTTTAGTCGTTATTGAGGTGATAAAGAAAACCCGGCAAGAAATCTATTAATGCAATTAAAGGTGACGTAGAATTCGGCTATATTGAACCTTAAAGGCATTGTTTAACAATGTTTCCAGTTCTACATTATCTGAGATGCATGGCCCTACGTGTTATCAGTGTCTATGATATGGTGTAATTCAAAAAAGTAAAAATCTTCGAGTGACCGGTTTAACCATACTCATTTCTCCCAATAGACTGTAGTGGTATAAACAAAGCTGTTCATACATGTTTAACTGTGTGGCAAATAGTTTTTTTTTTACAATTCTAGTTCCAATTATAATATCTTGAAAATCAGACAGGCGCTCGGCTTGTAAAAGTCATGGGATTCCTGACTAACCTACTAAAGGTGTATAAATATGATTGCAATAAATACAAAAGTGAAATCACAACAGCTCTTATTTGATTTTAAGTATACACAATTAAAGAAAGATTTTGAACATGAATTTGATATTTAGAATCTTATAGAAATATAAACAGGGGGCAAAGTGGATATTTTGTTTTGAAAGTGAGAGATTTCTATCGTGTGTTAATACGTAAGAAGTCGGTATAAACAAATTATTTTTGGAATTCCTTTCTAGATTTAGATAATGACTTTGTTTGGAAGGATGTATTTTCATTTAAATTAAAGCAAATTCGTAATAATGAAGTTGGAAATTTTAATTTCAAGATGATTCACAGGTTTAATGCCTCAAAAGTAAACTTATATAAATGAAAAATTGTGAAAAATTATTTATGCAACTCTTGTGGACAAGTTGACTGAACGTTTCACTTTATGTTATATTGCAAGGATGCGACTTTGTTTTGGAAAATAATATGTAATTTGATATTTAATTTAGGCCTATTCCAAATAGAAATACCAATAAACCAAACGATATTAGTTGTAGGTAAGGACATGCAACAAGAAATATACTCTCCTGAATATTATTTTAAATTATGCGCAATATGCAATTTATAAATGTTACTTTAAAAAGATTGTTAATGGTACTGTTTAATACCCACATTCTTTGTTTTTTTTAATTCAAGTCATTGCTAAGACTATTTTTAAGGTATGAATGTGTTAGCAAAGAAAATAATACTAAGCTGGAAGAATTAATTGTTGAACTTTTACTTTGATTGTTAGCCTATGTTATGTTTCACTCAATCATTGAGTAATTAATGTAAATATGTATTGAAATTATGGAAATAAAAACTTCGCTTGAGGATAAGAGAGAGAGGAAAAAAATGATCGCAGCATGAGCTAATAAATCCAGGATTTTGTTGAGAATCTGAGGCAAAGATACCCAATCCCTTTAAAGGTACTATGTTCCTTTTGTAGCCAACCTCAAATTGTGTAGAACTTTGCAGGAATTATGAATATGTTATGTGTGTCCTATCTGTGAAATTTAAACATTAGCAGTGTCATAATATTCAAATTATGTAAGGAAACCCGTTTACTTGCTAGACTTCACTGTCAGACACTATTGAGTGACTGACTGTTTTTTCTTCTTCTTTGGTAATAACATACATAAAATGAGCTGTAAAGGGTACATGAGCATTAGTCTACATCAATAACCCACTTATTGTGATGGCCAAAATTAAACTGATTGAACCTTTGCGCAGCATAAAACGTATGACCATTCGGTACAATGGTCTGAAAATCAAGACTATTACTTATTGGCTCTACAGCTCCTAAGTCGACTTGACAACTAATAGTCGTTATTTTCC